AGGGAGCCTTTTTTGACAACAGAAGAGCTAAAGCAATTCTGAGGCCTGGGCTAAGAAGGGAGCGATAAAGGACTGAGGCCTGGTGAACAAAGCACATCCATCACAGGGCGACAGGAGCAGGAAGCAGGGGAGAAGGACAGAAGTGAAGCAAGGCAGCAGCACAGGCTGATGAGGCTGTGGCTGCCCTGGGTGGCAGAAGCTGACTGAAATTCCCCCACTGTCCCCATCTCATCCCATTCCATTAGCAGAAGTGCAGTCCATCTCCCAGGCACCCACCGAGTCCCCATCTTTCTTCTCTGCCCTCTCTGCTGAGTTTTCTTTCTCTCTTCCAGCCACTATCTGGTATCTCATAGAGAACACCTGTAACCTGGTCCCTTGCTCTTCCTCCTTTTCACTCTTCCACCTGGAATTTTTGCCCATTCGTCCTTTGTAAAAAGTGAAAACAGTGCCCTTACCCCAGGCTCTTAAACTGCCACAGCTCCAGGACAAGGAGCTTCCCCACAGCCCTCCCAAACAACTGCACTTCCCATGGGTGCCTTCCTACCTCCTCTAGCACATTTCCTCCACCTCTGTGATCTTTGCACCCAGAGAAAACTGGAAAATTAGACTTCCACGTCCTATGTTTTAGTCATGGCTCCCCCTTTCACAGAACCTCCCTCACACTGCATACATCAAAGTTACCAGTCGGCTGCATTCCAACCCGGTTCTTTTCCCACCCCACCCCTAGGCTTCTCTGGCTCTTTGCCTTTGCAACACAAGCTTGCCTTAGTATTGCCCCTTTCTAAACACAGCGTCATCAACCTTCATGTGCTTTATGGCCGCCACTTCCTTTTCTATCACTGAACATGCTGTTCGTAGTCATTGCCTGCGGTGTTTTTTCCCTCCAGCTCTGCTCTTCATTCTCTCCAGCATAGCCTCTGCCTCAGGCTCACCACTGAAACTGCTTTTGCCAAGATCTTAACACTGTTTTCGAGCTAAAGCAGAGACAGCCATCTCTTTCTGTTCCTCTTATCTGCCTGTGGCACAGCCAGCTCAGCGCTTCTTCTCAGATGAGATACTTCTGCTTTCCTAGTTTTCACCTTTGCTTCTCTAATCACAAACACCTCTCTCCCAGCACAGTCTCTGAAGATGCCTTCATCTCTCTTTCTCTCGGGTTTACACAGCTCTGATAGTCTTTGACTCTCCCTCCATAGCCTTTACTCCTATGAAATCTCATCTGCAAACACAGACATCACCAGTGCTGCCATACAGGACTCCCGATCTGCTTCTCTGTCCCACAGGGGCCTCTTCTCTCAGCTGAAGGCCAGCCCGTCTGCCACACAGATACTGATCCCGTTCCCAGCACCCCAGCACCCGCACAGCCCCGCTGTGTCCCCCAGCCTGCTCTGTGCCACCGGTGGAACCACACCAGTGGAACCAGCTGCCCT